ACAGACAGACAGACAGACAGACAGACAGACAAACAGACAGACAGACAGACAGACAGACAGACAGACAGACAGACAGACAGACAGAGTAGACTGATTGATTTAGAGTGTACTTACCACACCATTACACAGGCTGATCGCCACATTAGATCCGGCGCGGCTCTCCAGCACATATCCCGAGAAATAGCACGCCATCACGTCCTCTTTCACCTCCTCCAACCACGTCACATTGCCCTGCACACGCTGTATCACGAAGCCAGGAGAGAAAAATTCCGTCACTGGCGACAACACCAAAGTGATCTCCCTGTCCAGTACATCCGAGGCGTTCACTGTCAGTAGGATAGGGCGCGTTTGAGTTTCATCGTCATTTTTGTCTTCCTCACTGACACGAGAAGTTCTAGAATAGTCTTTTGCCTCTTCAGCTCCTCCGAGAAAACGGTGTATATTATGTCTGTGTTTCCTGGCATGCCTACGATGATGCCGTGTGGTTTTAATGCTGTCATTGCTGCCTTCATTGGAGAGCAGATTCGATGAGACACCAGTGTCTGCTTCCGACTGGGTGACATAATTCAAATGTTCTGTTGTTCGATTGCTGGAATCCCACAGGGGACCATCTACGATAGAAAAAGCTTCTCCTGCTTCACTTTTAAGAATTGCACTTCGATTTCTTTCACTTATAGCGTCTGATGAGTTTCGGTTGATAGATAAACGGTGGCTACCCAAGGAGGCGCCCGCTGAGTTCTCCCACCTGGAAATCGACGATGGACTGAGGATGCCATGACTCAACCGTTGTTTGTTGGCGGGGTGAGTCCTGTAAGCATCAGACTGCAGTCTGGAGCGGGCCTCTGACCAATGTGTAACTCGATGATCCTCGGGCAAACCTGGAGGGGTGGGGATGGGGGGGGGGAGAAATGCACAAAAATTATTCAGTACTTTTATTTCAACGGGTTCTTGAAGCAGACAGTTTCACACAGAGCAAGCATATATCAGCTGCAGTGGCATAGATGGCTCTGAACTTACCTGAAAGGCGAAATGTTTAGGATTGCACCAGAGGAGGAACCGAGTTTTCCTCGTTCTATTATGAACGATTCCTCCTAGCCTTGATAAAGTACGACGTGTTCCGCTATTTCAATGACCAACATTGAGTCTAAAGCGAGTTTTAAACATCAACAGCAATAGAATTATACCAGAGTGAGAGGGTATGCGATGCATTTGCGTGGGTACAGGAAACAAACAGACGGAAAGAAAAGAAGTAGAACTTACACTTGGCACCATCCAACCACGCACAGAATACACGTGGAAATTGTTTTTCAGCAAAAGGAGATTTCTTATAAAGAGAATGCGTTTCGTTCTTTTCTCCAATGGGTCGATGCCCACAAACATCACACATGAGACCTTTGCAAAAACAGAAAATAATAAACAAACACCCAAAAAAAGCACGTATACCCAAATACATGCACACCGAAAACTAATTGATCAATATTTAATCATTCTACATTGCATTCACATCTGTGACTGACAAAATCTGAATGGAAAAGGACATGCTTCTCCCCCAATCCTTTTCTCCCCATACTCTTCCTTTTTCTCTACCTTCCTCCCACGCCCCTGCACCCCAGACAATCGGGGGCAATTTATTTGTTCATTCTTGGGAAACAAATAAAGTGGCGATGACTGAGAGTGATAGTGTATTCATGGCATCAGTTGACAGAAAGTTAACGAGCCCCCCCCCC